CAGAGAAATGGAATTCTACAATTTTGTATTTGTAGACTATGAGATTTCAGATCTACAAGGGAAAAAATATTCAGAAAATAATGAAATACTGGAATGTGTAGTTTCTCCACATACAAATTAAAAAATAAGTCCATGTAATGCCCATCATTTAAATTTTGGAGCCAACTACTCTGAAATAACAAGTCACTAAAAGAAACATCAGGGCCTTATGTTTAAGCAAACCTATGTCAAATATATAAAACCATGACATTTTGTTAGGTCAGGGCCAATTTTTCTTTCTAAAGAGCTGAAAAAACCCTATAGCAAACATTTACTTTTTCATATATCTAAGGCAATTTGAAATAATGTCTTTTAATATATTTTTTCCTTATCCACTATTACTGATCATGTCTGTATGTGCCCAAATGCCCTGAAGTTACCATTTGAAGTACAAAAGAAAAGAGCAGAAGATCAAAAAGCACAGTAATTCAGGTTACAGGTATATTTTGTCATTTTTTTTCTTTTAATTCACAAAGGAAAGATTGGTATGTTTTGTGAAGTATACACTTATTACCAGATTTGACAAAGCAAAAAAACCCCCAGTACTTCAATACTGCAGCTGCAATTCTGGAGTTACAGCTAGTTAAATATCTAAATATGTGCATCTTCTGAATATGTAATAAATTACAAATATTTACAAAACTGTATTTGCAGATGGTGGGCGTTGGACCTCTTTACAGATTCTGGCCTTGAGCCATAAAATTTTAAAAGTAGACCATATATTTCGCCCAAACACCTCACAGTTTCATTCTAACTTGCTATAGAAAACAGCGACCTGAAACTGGAGGGAAGAGACAATTTAATGAAGACAGACACACATTGAACAGTAAATGTATACTTACACTTGAAATATCAATTATACCATAACCTTATACATTAAATTGTGAGAGATCAAGTGAAGGAATGAGAGGGTTTTGTATCATAGTAGAATGAGTCATTCCTTTAAAGTATTTTTATACTACTCTTTCTGCATAATGCAGCTTATGTGCTAGAAATGAAGGAAATGGCAATGATCAACAAAACCCACTCTACCGTTTTTTCTAAACCTGCATATATGACTGCTTTCATTTTTTTTGTAACAAGAGTAAGATGCCAAGAATACTTTTTGTGAAAAACAATTACGTGGCAATAATTTGGAAACTTAATGTCTATGGAGTAGAAAACTGGACTGAATATTTGCTCAAGTCTAATTCAATCCCCATTCACAATTAAGTGTAGCCTTTCAGAAAACTTACTAGGAACACAATGGGATCCATATACAGCTTCCAGTTGTAAAAGTTTGTCAATATACACTGGAAGAAACAGACATTTGAAGGACTACTACACTGTATTACTCTGCACTTGAAAATATTTATCTGTTTTCTGGCTCAAAGAAAAAGAAAGCCAAATCCTCACATCAAAATGCCCCTTGTAATCCAGTGCAAACACATTTTACCTGTATGCATAATAAATTAAAACACTACAATTTGTATTTATTACTTTACTGCAGTAGGGATGACAAGACCTCCACAGTACAGATTGGAATAGACCAATTTATGAAGAAATCACAGTCTGAAAATCTCTGATGATCACTGCAATGGAAAAAACTGAATGGGGAAACAAACGGGGGAGCAAATATAATTCACGTTATCAATTAGTATGTGGGTGAACTACAGCGTACATTGTTTTTAAACCCAAGTTCATCAACTTAATCATGTGACTGGCTGTGAGCAGCAGGTCCCACCTGTATATAATTGAATGTCTCAATATTGGGATCTCCTCAGAGGTGAAGAACCACCAGTCAGTTGAACTGTTGGTTTCTCAAGTAATAAAGCTATAGGAACAGGACTCTGAATTTAGCGAAAAACCAGTTAATGAGCTACGTACGTTTTAGGTTCCACCTCCTCATTTAGTGGGAGAATTACTGGCTTCAGGGATGGGCAGACGGGTATTTTTCACATTTGCATTATGTTTTAAATATATTTTGAGAAACATTACTACATTCACACTTAGGGAAATGTAAGGCTACACTTTACTATTCCTTCCCTTGTAAGATTTATGTATTTGAAGTGTTATCAATAACAACCAGGAAAAAATAAAAAACAGATAAGCTTTGGTAGTAAGGCTGTGCTTGCCATGAAGCGAGTACTGTCACCTTTCACAGTCTGGTTCAAGATGGCTTCAACTCCATAACTACAAGAAAGTGTTGTTACACTTTAATTACTGTATATTGTCATAGTTGAGAACAGTGAGAAAATGTACTTTAAGTAACTAAAAGACAACTCCATTTGCATGGTAAGCATATGTAAAGTTAAACCTTTGGACAAGTTTGAGAGTTACATATCATTATCACTGGGATATGCTCATAAGTAAATACCCTGGAGGTATTTAAAAGATGCGAGATGTGGCACTTAGGGACATGGTTTAGTGGTGGAGCTGGCAGTGCTAGGTTAACAGTTGGACTTGATCTTAAAGGTCTTTTCCAACCTAAATGATTCTATGACTCAGTCTACATTGGCACAACACAACAACTGAACAATAGTTCAGTTTCTGACCCAGTGTCTAGTCTGACAAAACACGCAAAAACACCAAAGACATGAACTTCCATTTCTGCACACTGGGAATGCAAAACACATTGATCTACTACCTCTCTTACCTCCCTCCCAAAGCTATTGGATACAGTGGATAATCAGAAATAATATGAGACAATGAGACAGATGGGTACTATAGGATGGTAGCAACAACATTCACTACCTGATTTTCAAAAAATGTTAAAATATACTCATACATGCAGATAGGTACTACATAAGGAGTGCACAACACAAAGCATTGACAAGAGACCTGTTTACCACTTATGGCGGCAGGAGTAAAATCGCAGCCCTAGAGAAGACATCACTTTTGTCTCAAATACCAACACTGGATTATAAAGAATCATACAATTAATAGATTCTAAACTGATTCAAGCTTTATGTCACTTTATCGGTTTCACTAGAAAAGCAACGTCATTAAAACAAGACAACCAAAATCAAGACAAGTATCTGCTGAAAGTGGAAGCTTAAATGTCAAGCTGTGACTCTGAGTAAGCAAGTGTTCAGTGCTGGAATCACTGAAACTAGGCACAGAGCTAAAAGACAGGCCTGGGCAGGATGAGAGCACAAGTCTACAGCTACGCACCCAAATAACTAGTACCTTTTCTTCAAATATAAAGAACCTAGAAGCACTCACTGAACTCATGCCTGGTCGTAGAAGACACTCTTTACAACAGAGTTATACATATGCGCTGGAAGCTGGTAGACACTAAACCCTTAAAAAAAACGGATTTATCCATTGTCTGAAATTGATTTTTCCATCTTAAAATACATATCTAATTATACATTTCAGTCTTTTTATATATGTATGTATATATTTCAGCCATGGAAACCATGAATAGACTGCATTTAGAAGTTTTTTAATAAAATTTTTACAAGTATCTATGGAATGGGGATATTTATAGTGTAGCACTAAATCATAACCATATGACCTGAATAATCTGTAACATACAAGTTCTTAAGCTAGTTATCCTCTGAAAGTCTATAGGTTGTTTTTTTGGGTTTTTTTTTTTTTTTTTAATATACTAGGCAGTGAGAAATGAATGTATGTATTTCACAGCCATGAAACTGAGGAGCTTTGTTTAGCTAGCCTGAGACTGAATTACAAATTTAGTCAACAGCATCTAGGCCAATACTGCAATGTTGATATAGGTTTATATTCAAGGTTTTATATTTTTCAATCAATTTTCATTTGTATATTTATGTTGATAAGAAGTAAAACAAGCAAAAAAAAGTCTTATTCAAGTTTTACAACAGATGACTAGAACACAGAACTGGGAAGGAAATGGAGGTCATCAGTCCAGCGCTCTAACCATAGGCAGAGTTCAAACATACCAAAACGCCTCCTGGCTAATGTTTGTCTAACCTATTTTTAAAGCCTCCTAGGATGGAAAATCTAGAGTCTTTCTAGATGATCTATTATCATAGCTACATTGTCTTTGTTACATTTGTTACACAAACAAACAAACATTACCTGCATTTTCACAGGTGATGAAACAGAGACAAGATAGTGATGTGACTTGCTTGACATCACACATTAGGTGACAGATATAGGAATCTAACAGCTTATTCTCAAACTATCTTATTGTACCATACTGTACTCCACGATCTTCATCCTGAAACATTCTAAAGTCCCTGGCATATTATGGGTTGCTCATAACCGCTGCTTATTTATAGTCATCTTCGGGGTGTAACATAGCAAGTGTTTAAAAGCAGTTCAACGCTGCTTTGTGCGACAGAAGAAAAAGATTATTCTATGGAATCAGGAGGAAAACAAAATATAAGCAGGAAAACATAACTACTCCAGTATGGAATTTAATTGGAATGGTAGAGATGACCAACAATCTTTAAAGTTACAGTACTCTTGTTAATCTAAATTATTAAAAAAATAATGGTAATTTGAAAGATAGTTTTCTAAGTGCTCTTAACACAATGTATGTTAAGATAATTGGCACCAACTCAGAAAATACTATCATCTGTTGAAGTGCCACCTCAGTTGCTTCAATATCTGCAGCATCCTTGGATTTTCACAAAAAATAAGAGGCTCAGTTCTTTTTAGCTTGTGATACACATTTAGCCTACACCCAAAAGTGGGATAAGAGCAGCTTCTCTGCTTTAACACATTTAGTGTGTAGTCTAGGCAACATAAAAAAAACCAAACTATAAACAAAGAGGTACATAAGTTCTTTAACTAGAGCTGGAGGGGGGGGGAGAAGAGATGGGACGTGCCTTCAAGATGCTACTCCCTCTCTCCACTATTTTAAGAGATTATTAAAGATATTACAAGGAAAGGAAGCGAGGGAAAGGGAGAAGTTTGTAAGACAAAGGAAGGAAATTAAGTACCTGTAATTTGTCAGAGACAAAGCAGAAAGTTTGTGTGCACATGCGAACAGGTTATGCTGTTAGCACATTCCAGTGATAAGTTATATACATCAAGACTATAAAAAGTATGTGGAAAAGACAAAAGCCTATTAGATCCCAGGAGCGAAAGGTAGAAGTTGATTGTGGGGTTTTCTCCCCGAGGGCGAGCAGAGTGTCAACAGTCTTTCGAATGTGACGAATATCCGACTGCAGGATGTCATACGGAGAGCAGAGGTCAGCCTATCCCGAAGGGCAGCCATTAGAACAGAAAAAAACAGTGCATAAAATTAAAAATACAAAAATAGAAAGATATTGATAAATTATCACAATATTCTAGCATAAACATGTACGAATAGTTTCTTCCTAGTATTACCGTAGTCACTACACACCCCAGCCTTCTTTTATTTCCTCTAAATACTGAAGCTATCGTGTAATATCAGAATATTAAGATAGAAGAGCTCAGGCCTTCAAATTCTTCCAAAGTTATGCCCAGATTCACAAGGGTGAGGAGGTGCACGTGGTCCACTTATTCCAATGAAAGCTGCACACCTTTGTCCATCTGGGCCTTATTCAAATGCTTAAATGGAACCAGTTGCAAACTCTAACTTACACAATAGCAAACAGTGGGTTAGAAAGCTGTTAAAAGCACAAGCAGCAGCAATACGAAGTCTCAAGAAAAGGTACTTAAAGAAATCGTTAGAAGTATACAAAATACTCTAACATAATAAATAATCTAAAACTCGGTGTTCAGATATCTTCTTAAATGATACCCTGGGATGGAAACTGAAAAAGTCAATGTAGCACTAACTATTCTTAATTTTAACAGTTTCTAAACTGAAGAATTTGACACTAAATTCCGTATGTAGCATTTTAAAAATTATTAGCAGGTTAGATTCCCATACTTTTTTTTGAAAGTATCACTGACTTCATGTAGCAATATGCTCTAGACTAGCTATACAAAATGAAGTGTACTATGTAATAATAATATCAATATGCACGCACAATATTTAACATTCAAATCAAACCAAGCAACAACTAGTACTTTCAAAACACAATCTGAGATATATACCATTTTACATTGCAAATGAGGCCTTACTATCAACAAAGATGGTGAATATTTAGGGAATAAAATTATATGAACTAGGAAAGAGATGCCCTGTTTCAGAGGAACATTATGTTTCTTTAGAAGCTCTTCAGTTTCACTTAATGAACTGACAGCACACCCAATAAACAAAGATATGGAAGTTCAAATGTCTGTTTTCTGTTAGTGCAAAGTTTCAAGGTCTGGTTGGCTATAAATTAAACTTTAAAATATTTAAAAGGCCTTTCTATCCTCAAAAGTGACTAGTGAAACTGGAAGTCAGAACTGTCATTCATATGCAAATAAAAAAGTGACACTTTTTTTTCTTTTCCTTTTTGCTTACCATGCCTGGTTCTAGCTATAACAGGAGTTGAAAGCTGTAAAAATTTCAATTTTGTTACTTAGGCCAGCAGATACACAGAGGGGGAAAAACCACCCTGCCTAGCAACAACACTGCGATTTTTACAGTAATTTTTCAGAATTTTTTCAACTCAAACTTCTAGTGTGATAATAAACTTCAATGCAATTGTATTTTGCTTTTTCTAAAGGATGAAAACTCAAGAGACAGAGCAAAACATGCTGGTCTTTTTTAAAAATGGGATAGGACTAGTACTACATTCAAGAACATCTACACCCACAAGCTGCTTACCAGAGAAACTAATTTTAGGGCAAACTACTCACGACAACAACTGCGTAATATATTGCACTTTTACCAAAGACCCCAATAAACCCAGCAAATGCTGGATTAATTATAAAATAGCATGCAAGACTCAATTCCTACTTGTTGCAAATATATCTCAAAAATAAATAGCTAAGATACATTAACCTTAATTTATACAAAACATTTGATAGAACTTTAAAACAAGAACCTTTTTTAAAAAATTTTGTCCAAAAAACCCCCACCCCAACAGTCCCTACTGCAGTCAAATGGACAAAAAGAAGCAATTTCAGAGTTAGAGAATGAGAGCTGGTAATAGGCTGAATTTTTACAGCAACTGAAGAGCTTGCTAACCAGAGATTAACACACCAAGCAATATATAGGACAAGCCAAAGCATACAAAACCAGCCAACACATGCAGAAAAAACTTCCTATGGGAACCGCCATGCTGTGCTTTATTGAAATTCAGTGAAACCTGGGGAAGACTGAGAAATGTCTGATCATTCTTGCTTATTTTTGCGTGTTCTGTGACAATGGATAATTCGGTGTTACATTCACACCTTATTAAGTAAAACGTTTATATTGTGTGTATTTTAAACTTCTGTAAAGTAACTCTAAATAAAAAAACATACAACTTTTCAGTAATGGTTGAATGTATTTCCACTTAGGTTACCAGAATTTTACAGAAGGTGTGAAATGAAAATACCAAACTAAAACATGACATCATGAAATAGTGAAAAAGTATATGACCTTCCACCTAAAGTCTCAAAAGACAACCAACCAGCCACTCACTCATCGCAAGCACTGCCCTTCTTATTTAGGAGACTGAAATTATTACTAGTAAGAATTAAAAAGATACACATACTTAATCATTATATTTATGGACTGACTTATGTCCATGAAGCTACATGATTAAATCATACAGCTGCCAAAATCATGCACGCAGAATAAACACAGTAAGACAGAAGTGGAATAAGAAAAGCATAACCAGCTGTTTGTGTGCACAAACCACCCTCATTCTACATGCTCCTGCAGTGACTGTGAAAACAGACAGCATTTCAAAACCAACCTCCTTCAAATTTTGACTTTGGTAAAAAAAGTAAGTTTGTAGAAGTGCATTCAAGAATGAAGTCTACAGTGCAGATGCACTATGCTAAAAACGCAAATGAAAGGAACCTCAAAATTACGCTTTTGGTACTCTAATTGACAGCATACAGAACCACTTAACACCATACTGTAGGCCACATAGTGCGCATTATTGAGCCCAGCATGAAAGGGCAGAGAAAGGAGTCATACCTGATAAAACTTACTGCAACTTCATGGATGTCTCATGATGAAACTATGGAGAAGTAACTGATTAGGTGAATTGATCAGAAAACAAGTGTGAGTGGCAATGAAAATATACCTTGCATTAAACTGAGAAAGATGATTACCAGCTGAGCAACTAATAGCTGGATACAAGATAAAGCACTTGACACTCCCTGCTTGGATGTTTCTTTGTTTACTTTGTTCTGCCAGGTTTAGCACACACAAGTCTCCTGGTTTTTTCTGTTTGTTTTACTTAATTAGCAATTCCTACACTAACACAAATCATACTGATTTTTAGAATAATTCTGGCTGATGCTGCAACATAGTGGACTTAGTTTTCAGAACAGGAGGTGAGATGCAGTAATAGCTCCCATTTGCAGGACTCGAAAAATCACAGGAAGAGGCACAGCTAAGCATTTTGTAATGTGACTCTTCATATGATGAAACGAGATCAAAAACCCCAGGCCTTACCATTACTCCTGTGTGTTCAGTATGTGTACACCAAGTAGCTCACTGAATATTCGAGAGACATGGCAGAAGTCTCTCATTCCCATCTGAAAAATAACTTGTCCCACTAAACCTTGCTGCTACGCTACTGACATGCTGGAACAGAGAAGCTCGATAAACCTGCTGTAACAACCGGCTGTGTAAGATTTCTACCTTTTATCAACAGAAATTACCATTCTAGTATTAATCATGATAACTTAAGTCTATCTTTTTTTCAAGCTATATGAAGATCAACAAGGTGTATCTGTGTATGTGGGGAAAGTCTTTCTCTCCTCTTTTTTAAAAATAACTCTACCTAATTTCTCTGACCTGAAGAGACCCCATAAAGGGCCAAAAGATGCTCAGGTGTCTAAACTGTTAAGATATTACATTAGTGTAAGTTGCAGATCATAAAAATTGATTTGTGTCTTTTTACAAAGAAAACTTCTGCATTGTGGCTCACAAACATTGAAAATACTTTGCTGAATTTCCTTTTTTGACAAAATGCTTAGAAGGTCCTACTTCTGATATGCCATATTTGTTCACACTTGTGAACCAGAAGAAATGCAGACCAAAACTTGTAACTTTCGCCTTTCAAATAACACATTGCATTTACAGCTTTGTTTTGATCTAAATCTCACTTATGATAAAGTATCATTCAGCCCACCAAAAATATTTTTTTTTTCTTTTGATGGGAATATTTGTTAACATTACTGAAAGTGCGTACGAAAAAAATGCTCTGTAATATGGATTACCAAGAATAACAACTACAAAGAATGAAAACTAAAGTTTTAAAGTTACTTATTTGCAGATTAAAATGGGAAAGTCTGTTTCTTTGCTACTAGTATAAATACTGATTCTAATGTGGTAACTGACAAGTTGAAGAAATGTATATGAATATTTTTGTCTTCATTTACATACATTTTTACTGGTTTTATGAAAGAACAGTTGAAACCAAAATACTTCCATAGCTTTACATAGATGCTCATCTGATAATAAATCAGACTCTCCTGATAATTGTTAATACCTCTGGGATGAGATGGCACTAAGAAGAGTAAAACTGCATTAGAACTGGTACATTTGACACTTTGGAAGCTACATTTAAACACAAATAAATAAATAAAAAAGCTTTATTTTTTAAACCCAGAAAGTGTGAAAGGGTGGGTGCGATATAGGTGGACCAACACCATAGGTGGTGTCGGTAGTGGCTTCATATGACACTAACAATCTACTCTGGTGAATGAGGAAATTAGTCAAGTTGACAGTTTTTAGTTAACAGTGTAAAATACAGTCTTTTTTTGTACTTCTCTAAGTGACAAAGAGTGTACCTTTACCTCCTGAGGGGCCCAGCAAAGACGTGTTCTGAATCTTCAGGCTTTCAGATGCTTACCTGCCACCATCTTTTTCTCACATAAAACAAAAATTTTGTCTCAAAAAATTATCATTTACAAAGATCTCTGATACCCTGGAATGAAAAAAAGGCTCTACAGGAAAAATTAGTGGCAAAACTGGACACAAGTTGCTTGTCTGACAATGATCACACTTTTGATAGCCTGCCAGTGCAGTAAAAGCCTTGCTATTTAGTTTCTTATTTAAGGGTCAGAACCATATGCTTAAAATATCCCATTTACTTATGATCCAACACATCCCCCTTCTGCATATGATCAGGAGGATCATATGGCCGTTAACAGAAAGTGATTTCAACATGGCACCCATTGTACTGAAACCCTCATCTGGCACGTAATGGCTTTCTGATGCCCGCTGGCACACAATTCCAGAATCATCTACATACCAGGTCATTATAAAGAGATGCTTGTGGTCCTGAATTTTTTATTTGCGATTCTTTGGTCATGACACCAACTCCTGATGCTTATTATGACACATTTGGATATGGACACCAACTGCATTCTTCTACCCTTAGATTAAGTTTCCCAGGATGATGCTGGGGAAAGCAATTTTGACCCAAGAGTTGAATGCTGAAAGCCACAGAAGTAAGAGACCCTGCACATCTGCACAACACAGTAATTACTTAGCTAATTTCTTGTTTTCATTTTACATGATTTAACAGGGTATTATTCTAAACCTGTGGAGCTCAGGAAATAGCATGTACTCTATCCCATTCCATAAATAACTGAAACCAAACCAACAGGAACTATGAGAATTTTCAATCCTTAAAAAACCCATGCAGCAGAATTTCAAATTAATTCTCAGGATCTAAACACGGATGTAAGTATCACAGAAAAGCCTAGGACTCATAAGTGGCAACTATCACTTTCCCATAAGACGCTTGTTTTTAAAAAAAGGAAATAATTCACTGCATTCCTTTTACTGGTTTGTCCAGAGGTAGTCAGGCAACGTACAACTCGCCAACCCAAGGCAGCATTAAACACACCATCTGTAGTTCTTTAAAAACTTTGACAGTTAACTGCCATACTTGCTGTCATACAACTTTGTATTCCTAATATACGTCCCTCCCACATGCAGTAAAGTTCTATCATCTACCACCCAGTTCCACAACACGATGAACTTCCACAATATATAGCAAACATACCCCTTTGCAAATTACTGACAGCTAATAAAAAAGAATATCCTCAGAGTACTGAAAATCTATCGTAAATTTACAATTCTAAGTCGTTCATTTAATGTTTAAGTGAATGAATTTTTCCCCCCAAGAGAAGTTAATGCTTATTTAGATTGATAAGGATGGTTAGTTTATAAATCAGATTGGTAAGATCAGGTCTTGTGCTTAATGCTCTGTGCAACTCTACAACAAATATATTTTAATAAAATACAAAAAAATCCTAAAAAATTCTACGATAGTTTCAATGGAAGCATTAAGGAGGAGGGATAAAAAATATATAAAAATGTCTATCCATAGACATGTCTATCCATTTTTTCCAGAAAGATTACTTATAGAAATCGAAAATAAAAAAACCTCAAGAGTAAAAGCTTAGCTTACTCATCTGCAATATGGCACTGCAAGGATCTTTGTAAATTTTTCTGTTTTGTTTTCATTTCTGAAAGATCTCTTGACAACAATGAAAACAGGTCTTGCTATATCCAGAAAAACCTGACTTGTATTCTAATTCCTGAATAATTTATGATGCATCAGAAGACAGTGAGTTTTGGGACAGCTTAAGAAACACTCCATGTCTACAAGCCCACAGCACTGAGATTTTGATCTTCTCTGAAGTGAAATTTAACTTTAATATGAAATCATTCTAACAGAATAGATTACATAATTACAAGAACTAAATCAACCATTACAACTTAGAGGCCCAGCCCATAACATTAAATTCTCAAATTACATTTACAATGAACCGTTCTCATTGGAGTTGTAAGACAAAAATCTCCCTCTCAAAATTCCTAAAAATGAGCTGTTACTTTTGCTGTCCTCCAAATCAAGTGCTAAAATATAGATAAAATGTAAAGAATTCAAACTGCAATTCTTTCCCAGTGTGAATTTTTTGCATTACCATCTGCTTCCCAAGTGGGTGGTGGGGGAGATACACACAAAATATCCTTTTGTTTCAGCATTCTTAAAACACATACTAAAAAGAACTCAGTCTTAATTATATTGTTACATGTAGGCAACAACACAGGGAAAATACATCACGCAATTTTCATGTTTTCACATTAAAAAGACCTTGTATAACACTTTTACCTGCTTTCAAGGGTCATGCATTTGAAATCAACTGTCTCTTAATAGGTGCTTCTAGATCACAAAGGAGTGTTTGAAATATTCCCAATGAAACTCCCGAATTCATTACATTTGTTATAAAGATATTTTTCCTTATCAATATGAGAACAAATTACATAATGAATGCTGCCATTCTTAAATGAAAAACAGAGAACACCAAGCACTGCAATTTCCTTATTTCCAACCTCAGTTCCAACTGAAACACGTATCTACATTCTAGAACACGCACTCATACGTACATTCCATACTTAACACACAACAGTTTTCTTCACTTCTCTGCAGAAGTGTTTCAGTACAAAAGTGTTGTTAGTCACTTCTACAATGCAAACTATAGAGTACTTAATATTGTAAAAAAAGGAAAATCAATCATTAAAAAGAACGAAGTCCATATTTTAAAAAGCACTAGGTAAAAATGCTGTTATATTGTATAACAAAAAAAAGAGCAAGCTTTTGCTTAATTACATATTACCTGATTATCATATTCCTTATTTATTTTCCATGGCAAAGATAAGGAGATACTGGGTTTAATACTGAATTAATAATTTAAGACAAAAGTTGCAATTCTTAAGTGCTACGACATGAGCCACTTAAATGCACTAAAGTAGTATTAAATCACATTATTTAAATCAATTTTTTTAATTTTATGTTTTTATGGCTGAAAAACAGTAGTTCATAAAGGTATCCTTCAGCTTTAAAGTAATCCATGTGTTCTGCATTTTTGATCATCTAGAAATGACAGACTTAATTAAATTACCTCTGGTATCCCCAGTTTTCTACAGGCATCCAGAAAGTTTTCCACATTTCTCCTGCATTTAGCCATACTAAGTTTAGGCTGTAAAAACAAGAAAAACAGTTTCTGGCAAAAGTCATCACTAACATTGATTCAGTCAATAAATTCATGTATTGCATTATTCTTGTACCAATGCACCATATCCATATTTCTCCTGAAAATAATGCATAAAACTCTGCTCAACTTTTTTCTACCACTCTAAAAACATCATGCCTACAAATACAATCTGAGTAAGTTGTGGATGCCATGCGCTTTTACTTAGTTATTAAAGTCACCAGCACATATAGATCTCTACTTGTTCACCTCCAGCTTGTGAGGTTCTAAAACCTGCCTCTCACAATAATTTGTGATAGATGACATTGGTTTTTTTGGACAGCAAGTAAACTGATGAAGGATTTCAACATACATCACGGGAACAGACTTAACTGTAATTAACAGGCCCTTACTTTTTAAATATTTTATGTACTCACAAATGTATAGTAATTATACACAATTCTAATGTCTCTGCAGAAGAAATTTCCTATTACTGTAGAATTTGAAACACTTCCATAATTTGTCTCACTCTGGACTATTCACCAAATAGTTACAGAAATATCACGTTACAAAAAAACTCCCAAAAACTCACTGTTTTACTTTTTCAAAGCAATATGTGAAATAACGTTAATTCCCAAATATCCACTTAAACCAAGAATTCATTATAGTAGCAGGGACTTTAAAGAACTATTTTCTAGGCTAAAGTAATTTGAAGGCTGTTTCAACCAAGAGAAGATCATCAATATAAAGTTGAAACAAAATAAAAATGGATTTAAAATATTTGCTTTTTGTTATAGAAAACACCACAAGATTTTTATCTTTAAAAAAACTCTGCAACAAAATTTAAGTTTTTGTCCCAGAAATTTGAGTTTGCATATTTTGGCAATTTCAAATTTTTATCAGAGACAGAAGTAATTTAAACCTAAGCAACAGCAGAAGAAACTCCACCAGAGCACCTGAGAAAATGACTTTCTCTTAACATCTGTCTTCTTGGAAGTTCTTATAGATTGGCTCTGAAATCCACATGCTATTCTCAGAATCAAGTATCAGGCTGTACATGGCAAATATTTACCAATACTTATATATATTAAAAAAAAAAAGGCAGATAGTCTAAAAACATACAAAACCTCTTCAGAACCAGACTGGTATCAGAAATCTGAAACAAACATCTGACCAAAAAAAAGGACATCAATAAATAAATAAAATACTAAGAAAATTAAGTCTCAAGAAATGCACACACAGAGCTTACATAGATTTTATGTCCTGAAAACTTCAGGTCGTTAGGTTTGGCAAGCCAATATTAAACCATGACAGCACATGTTTCTATTCCATTCCGTCTGCAGGTAAAAGGAATAATTTCTACACTTAACCCAATACGAAGAAGATGCTAATAAGTGCTGTAAGTGCTTTAGTTACATGACATCTGCTGAGCCAGACATTGCTGAAGATAACCTCATATTTCTTCAATCAATAAGCAAGGGGCTACTTTTCTATTTAAAAGAGTTTCCTATAATAAAATCTTGTAATCATAGAATTTTATAGTGTACTGAAAAAAAAAAGGCCAGTATGAAAAAAATCTGTTGCTACATCAAAGAGGCAGGATAATTTTATTCACTTATAGATGTGCATGTGTATATACACACACACAAATACACTATAAACACTATAAAATATAGAAACATTTGTGAACATTTGAATTTGTAATAATGTAAACATTGCCCCTAACAGTAAAGAACATTCATTGAACAGCAACCTGTTTGATGTAACCGAGTATAATTTGGCAATAAAACAGTAATTTTTTTAAACATTCCTCCCCGCCACCCCAATGTAACCAGAAACATTCAACTTACTACTGCTGGTGAAGGTACATGAATACTTCCTACAGACCGAGGACGAACGTGATTTACTAAATGGCAGAGAACTACACCATCCATCAGAGCAGACCCCAAGTCTTCAGGCAAACAAATCTTTAGTCTTGTTTCAATGTTCTGCAAACGGAGAACACATACACACTTTAATACAGAAATGGATGAAGGGGAAAAAAAGGGAATATATATTCTCATCTTCTCCCTTGCTGTAGACAGATAGCCACTTTTGGAGTTTTTGGTTCACCAAGAAACACACTACCTTTATATAAACAATTCTTTAAAAACTAAAAACCAATCCCCGCTACCTTATGTTTGCCACTGAATTGCGTAAACTTCTTTAAAAGACCTCAATACTTCAAATGCTGCTGTCATAATATGCATTTATTTTTATATATACATATAAACACACATATACATGCAATTAACCATGTGACTGCACTACATGTGGCTCCTTCCTTTCACCATTCCCTCAAGTCTTCTACTTATGCATCTCAAATTTTTTTATCAGCAGCACTTTAAATCAGAACTGCATTGTGTTAATCACTGTACGAGCAGAGAGTAAAAGGCAATCTTTCTCTAGTAGCTTAAAAATTACTTAGGAAGCATTAGAGTGATCAGAAAGACAGGTAAGGCAAAGCAAAACATTCAAATTTAAATGAGAATTTTTGGATACTTGTTAAGTAAAACTGAAGTCTCATGGAAAAGAATTTGATATTGGAAAATAAAATACTTTGAAAATATTTGAGAATTTTCTAGAAAAAAACCTCAACAAACCCTAAAATAAGCTTGTTACATATGACAAGTTTCCTAAATTGTGCTCCAATCTTGAAAAACATTTGAACGCTACACTTAGAGATAACTCTTAGATTAACTCTCAGAGATTCCTTTATCTTAAAATAGATATTTCTTATTCTTAGCTGAACCTCATTAATGTTATTATTCTCTATTAATACATTACTTCAATCTATGCTGAGTGTTTTAGATGAAAATAGATTATTCTCTTTAGAATCAAAGGAGAATGTAGGTTGGAAGGGATTTCTGAAGGTCACCTGCTCTAACAAATTCGAAATTAGATCAGCGCCTTGGTTAGTTAAGTTCTGGATATCTGCAAGGAAGGAGATTCCACAACATCTCCAGGCAACTTTGTTCAGTGTTTCACCACCCTTATTGCAAAGAATTTTCTCCTTATAGTTACTTGAAACTTCTTTCTCTGCAATTTGTGCTACTGCTCCTCATTCTCACTGTGCATCTTTGAAAAGCCTGGCTTTATCATCTCTATTACTACCCTTCAGGCAGCTGAGGACAGTCATATGATATTCTCAGTATTCTTTTCTCCAAGTGAAAGAAATTCAGCTTTTAGTTTCTTCCTCATACATCCTTTGTTTGGGTGCCCTCACCACAAAGTAGCCTCCACTGAACTCACTCTGGGGTTTTATTATATTTTCCCAGTTTTTATTTTACTAGACACACTACTCAAGTACTTGCATCTATGGTCTCACAAGTGCTAAACAAGGGAGTGCATCACATGGACTAACATGTTTTGCTTTCACCTTGGATTAATTCATACATTTGAAAACTTTTTTGGTATATGAGATATGTACAGAAAGTTATACATTAAGAATACATTTTGAGACTTTTTTTTCCAAATATGTTACAAACAGGTTATATAAGTTAATGAATTAAAAATTCCTTCTCTTAAAAAACTGATTTGCCTGTTGGGAGACAACTCAAGTATAGATCAGGATGCTTTTTTTTAAAATGAGTACAGTGCACCTACAACACTATTTCAATGCCAGTTCATGGTTTGAGACTAGATTTAATTAAAACTGAAGACTTAATGAAGTGGATCAATTCTCTTTCAATTTCATCACGATTGAAGAACTACTCTCTTTCAAAATCACCCATACTACAGCAGCAAACAATTTGCTCCACTTAGTACGTCAAAAACATCGAAAGCTTACCCTTTGAGTGACAAAAAACCCCCATATTTTCTCTATTGCTCAAGAATAAGTGGTGAATCACTCTTGAAATGACAACTGTCTGAAGTGACCATGGATGTCGCCAAAATCAAATGGCTCAAATGGAGGAAAAGTAAGTATGCCTCTGACAGAAAAGTTTTATGAAATTGAACAACTTCTGTAAAAACACACCATTCTAAAGAAAAGGGTGGAATGTATGGAAGAAACACCAATGTTCTTACAATATATGGCTCAGGTGAAATGGCTAAAGGTAACTCTGCATTTAGATTTCTAAATAAGGAACCTGACTATTCTAACAGTTGTTCCTTATTGTTCAGTGCCCAACTTGGTTAAGACTGCAGGTTCTGTGGAGTGTCACTAAATTCCAACACACCATGAAACAATTCAAAAGCAAAATCTATTAACAGATATGTTTATTCAATAAGTAAGAATTTAATGACTTACATGTTCTGAGCTATTTTCTTGTACAGTACCTAATGAGATGGTCTGGAGGTTGCTTTTTCACTAAAGGACCTAGCATACCAGAGTAAACTTTATTAATTTGAAAAATCTCACTATGTGCTTTCAAAGAGGGCCAATCTTCTAGCTTCTGTCATCACTCCTTGACTTGTAACCAAACTTCTCACAAGAGACAACAGAACTTTCATTTCAGAACACAATGCTTCAGGGTGAGGGCAAAGAAGGATAGTGCATGGAGCTGAAGGTCATTAACACATTAAACCAGTATTACTTGTAATACCTAATACTAATACAGTGTAGAGAGATCCTTAGTAAGTCTCAATGATCATGCCTGATATGGTGAATAACCCTGTTCTACTTTTCACTGTGAGGATTAGCTGAACTAATGCACAAGGCAGGAACCTTGAGGACATTATTTTTAGGAACAATTACTTGGGGACTTGCTACATGCTTGTGGTAACTCTTAAAAAGAAACGCAAAAAGTCACACTGACGCTGCTGACTGCACTATGCTCAGAAGAACTACATCCTACTGCAGTTTATTACTGCTACTTCCATTTTCTTCTCCACTACTAAGTTCCTGCATCTTGTCCTTCTGGCACCATGCAAGTGTAGAACTGGTAATATACTACATTCAATCAACTACGCTGAATCTCCAACAAGATCTGTTCTGTTCAAAAATTCTGCAAGGCAAAGTAAGATTAATCCAGACTTAAAGCAGGTGAGGGTCTGAGGTAAGAGAATGAAGATCTAAAAGTCCTCATAGTTCTACATTAACCAAGCCGCCTTTTAAACACTATTTGGTAAGGAGAAAAAAGTTAACTCTCTTGCTTTAAAATTAAATAATACAAAACATGTTATTTAAAATAAATGAATAATTTTTGAATTAGTAGTTCCATGAAGCTAATGACATAAGAACACATAATCTTGTATTTGGTTGTGATATCAAAGTCAACTACCACACTTTCAGGTTTTGTACTGCATTTAGGAGTGCAACGATACCATCTCTTCTGTTGGTAACATGACATGACTGGAAACCTTGACAGGTTCAGGCTCTCAACATTCCTGCGGCAAAGGCTGTCATCTTTTTTGCTTTTTGACACAAATAGGTGTCACAGAAGCAGCACTATCTAGGTATTAGCTGTGTAACACTAATTTTTGCATCAGGCTCTAGCTTCTATATTCAAGACAATATATCAGGAAAACATCTTGTATATTCAGATCTTCAAGCGATTAAATATTCATTTAATTTCTAAGAAAGTTGTTTCAAGCATTAGTTATCTGCTTTAAATAAAAAGGTTTCAAACTTCAGCTTTATCTAATGGATTTCATTGCACCTTTTACTGACTAGACTGAAGACTTCTCCAGCTGTTAGGAAATAGTTTCTAATCCTCTCTACCTCTTAAGCGATCACTTCATCCTTTCTGATGAAATTAAATAAATTCTTAATTCCACTAGTGGAAGGCATGCTGTTTAACTCTATGTCATACAGGTACTTCCCATGATTATTTCCCATTTTTATAAAACCTTTCCTGAAGTACAGACATCTGACCGTGATAAAGCACTTCAGGAATAGTCTCATCAATGTGATTTGCAGAAGTAATATTGCCTCATTTAACCTTTTTAGTATTCTCCTACTAAGACAACTTTCCCAAAGAAAAAATAAAAAATACATTCTATTAGCACATATTAATTCTACCACCACATACCTCACGTAGCTGTTCCACAAGCTCTCTCTCTTCTCTCATCTGCTCCATTTTCCTTCGAATTGTAAATTGTGGGTCTATCGATTCCAAATTTCTTTGTGGCCTTAAGAACACTATGATTTTAAGAGAGACAGATTTTAGTTTAAAAATGAACACCTTGATTTATTAATTTCTAAATTAAGCAAAAATCTTTTGGCACTGCCTCCAGCAAAAACTGTTAAAAAATTCTGTCCTCAGGAGGACAGAAAAATCTGATCTTGGATTACAATCATAAATGGATATTTCTGGATATTGCTCTGAACAGCATCATGCACTGTCAATGGAGTGGATAATTTTTCAACCATATCCTAATCTCAACAGGCAAGTTTTGTCAGATGATTAAGCACCAGCACTGTCCCTTAGAGATTCTGATCTGTACAAAACTTTGTATCTAACATGGCAGGAAACACTTCTTAATCTTTTAAGCAGAACCCTTTCCTACAAGATGCTGAACTGTGTAACAAGCCGTGACAAGCATCTTCCTAAACAGGACAAACTGCTTACTAGATAAGGTTGTATTAAAAAAAAGAAAAACCTCACCCACCCACTAAAGACTAATGTAGGCAGACTTAGCCATTCAGTAAGCCTGCCTACATTAAAAAGTCATATTGCAAATGTAGCATTGCATAAACTCTTTGCAGTACTCCCACCAATCATAGTTCTGTCAACTGTATCACTTTGTCCACAGATAGTTCCTTGAAATAACTACATGAAATCTCTGCATATATGCACCTCTCCACTTCCTTTTTTTGTGATCAATGACTCTTTTGAATGGTCCGGAAGGACAAGATGTACGCTCAAAATGCAACTGTCACCTGTTTGCCACTCAAATGACAGGCCAACTTGATTGTTACGGAAAATCCCACCTCTCTCCTCCTGATGCAATATGACACCCTAAGTACCAATTAATTGGGTGGAAAGTACAAAATCTCAGTTTTTACATACAGCTACTGCTCAGTCTCAATTTTGTTAATTTAAGGCTATTAAAGGGAGGATAATTTCCAGGTCAGTAAGTAGCAGGATAGAAGAGAGGAGTCTTTTGTTTCCTAAAAGGCAGACCAGATAATTGGAAGTGTATGAATTGCCAATAGCGTCTACTAGAGGAGTGAAAAAATGATGAATTATTGTTGACTGTAAGAAAAGGTACACATGGGTATAATCACAGTAATTCTGATGTTCCACTAAAAATTGTGATAAGTCGGTCATTTTATTTAGGTTGTGATCTGGGTAACAGACTGAATTTTAAAAATCAGTCCTCAAAATATCTAACAAATTAAAAAACTGTACTCGTGGTATAAGGAAATTTCATCTACATTCTGACCAAAAGTAAACTGTTTAACAAAGCCCCCAAATCAGTTCAGCGTCAACATACAAAATTGTACCCTCTGACATCTAGGGCTCAGATAAACAAGACAAAGTTTCTGTATGAGAAATACTTTGAAATCTCAGACAAGTCTAGTCATGAGGAATCTCACCAAACTGTATGCAGGTTGGTTAAGTAACAAAATTAATCATCTAAGCTACTTCTCTAGCCAAAGGGATGGACAGACACCACCTAATGCAGTTCAGCCAACAGGCAGTAGTTCTTTCCCTTATTTACTAAAAAAGGAAGCTTAAGGCAACAAACTCCTTGCATATCCCTAGGTTACTTATATGAGGCATTAAGATAGAAAAAACTATGGCCAGCTACTAAACTTGCTTCCTTCCACTACTTGACTCACACAGTCATCGTTTTAACTTTTCACAGGCAATTAAAGTTTGCTACACTACTGTTAAATCAGTAATTTTAGGAATTGTCATATTAAAGGCTATTTGTTAAACAAAACTGCTTTTAAAAAGAACACCTAAGTATTACGGTTTTATGTTAGTAAGCTTTATCCTTTTTAACATCATCAGAAATCCCACTGGGAGAGTGTCCCAGAGAGAATGTGCAGAACAGAACTACAGATACCACCTGCAGCTCAGTTCCCTTCTCCATGTGGACTACATAGCTTCACCAGTGTCACCATTTAGAAGGATCTACACACAGGTGCGCAAATCATAAAGAACATTCACTGTGCTAAACTCCCATACGTAAGGTGAGACTAGCACATCCATGCCTTCAGATGCAATAGGTCCACAGTTGCACTGTCATTCAACCTTTGTAGAAGGCAAACTGCAACCTCAGAAGAGAACTCTATTTCCAAAGCACAGTGTATCAACAGTTATATGCTGCTTAATATTTTGTTGTGAGGAGTGTATATAACAATGACTCCACATCACCCAAACATACAAAGGCTGTTAAGAGCTGTTAACTACTGTTGTTATGAAGTATAACAATCCATACACCTGATTTAACTGTACCATTTCAAAAGCATTATCTACCAGCTTAGATAATTTTAAACTAATCGTTAACTACTGTTGTTATGAAGTATAACAATCTATACACCTGATTTAACTATACCATTTCAAAAGCATTACCTACCAATTTAGATAATTTTAAACTAATTAATACATTGGTAAATTTCTGACGAAAGCACTTATATATGGTAAAAATTAAACAATTGAGACTGAGATGTTATTTAATAAATCATAGAATCACAGAATGGTTTGGGTTGGAAGGGACCTTAAAGATCATCTAGTTCCAACCCCCCTGCCATGGGCAGGGACACCCTCCACTAGACC